TGACTTCACAAATCAACACATTGAGGTGATTCTCAGCAGCCTGAAGCGTTGGCGTGGCCCCGTTAGCGTGGCTCCGTTGGCGTGGCCCCGTTAGCGTGGCCCGTTGGCGTGGCCCCGTTGGCGTGGCCCCCGTTGGCGTGGCCCCGTTGGCGTGGCCCGTTGGCGTGGCCCCGTTGGCGTGGCGCCGTTGGCGTGGCCCCCGTTAGCGTGGTCCCGTTAGCGTGGCCCCGTTGGCGTGGCCCCGTTGGCGTGGCCCCCGTTAGCGTGGCCCCGTTACCTTTAAGCGGTGCCTCAGCAGTGATCGTCACCGGGATTGTAAAAGAGTTTCAGCATTGGTTTGTGATTTCTGGGTTTGTGCCTCATACCAGCTGATAGGGAGTCAGAGCCTCTCTAATGAAAATGAAACTGACACCTACAGGTTCGACTAAGCTAAATAAGTAGAAGAGCAACACCAGTGTTGAATGTAATGCACTGACAGCTGGGTCACCAGTCAGGGGATGGACTGACAGCAGGTATGCGTACAGCTCAGATCACAAGTATTTGGACAGTTAAACATTTTTAGGTTTTGCGCTTCAGCAAATTGAAATCTACAACGGATGAATCATTAGTGCATCAAAGTACCAAGTCTCAGCTTTAGTTTGGTCTGGTTTGTGATTAACGTCATGACAATACTGCAGGAACTGAGGGTCAGATGCAGCCTTTCAACACAGCGACAAACTGCAAGAGTTCAAAAGTAAATGGACACTTGGCTGCTAAATGTTTGTTGGACAGCTGATGATCATTTCACAGCTTGTAGATTGAGCAAAGACCCTCAGATCAAATCTGTTGCAGGGATGTTACATGGAGCTGGTTTGCCAAACTCAACAGTTTAGTCCAACAGGTGCACACAGGAAGACGAGGACGTGGCATCATCTCAGTAGACCGATGTGCACAAATCTCACAGGTGATTGGAAAATCGTTTGCAGGGTAAAGAAAAGCTCTTCCTGACAGTACAGCAAGTCAGAGACACTCTCCAAGATGTAGACAAGCATGTTTCCTTGTCAGCAGTCCTTTGAGTTTATCCTTGATTGGACCAATCACCTGATCTCAATCCAAACATGCTGGAAGACGACACGCAGACGAAGGTGGAGAGCATCAGCAGGGAAGGTTTAAAGAGTCTGCTGGTGTCTGAGAGTCGAGTCCTTCGTCTGCTCGTTGTCCACAGAGGCTCATCTGTGTACATCTATCCGACTACTAGTGAATCTCTGAACTCTGGAAACTAAAAACACACCGTTCCTCATGATGCTGATTCAAACCACATCAAAGTAAAGCTGAGCATTTGTAATTAATCTATTATTTTAAAACAAAACAAAGCTGAAGCTGTCCAAATACTTCTGATCTGGGCTCAAAGTGAGCGAACAAAATATCCTCAACTTTGTGGGAAGTGCTGAAAGAGAGCCGTGTCGGTGGATGTTCATTAAGCATCGTGATCAAAGCGTGTTCCCAGTCGGGATGGACATAAAAAGACTTGTTGGTTTGTTCTGGTCCCAGGCTGCACAGTCAGCTCTTTGTGTCTTACAGCGAGGTTTCCTTGGATTCCAGCAAAACAGGCTTGAAAGTCAAGATCTCTGTGAAGGTGTGACCTAAAGAAAGACGCACAGCAGGAGCTCAATCAATAAAACATAACAGCATCACATCGTCTGCCTCCGTCTCTCCTCCGTCTGTCTGAAATTACATCCTCAGTTCTATTCTTTTGGGCTTCCTCAGCTATTGATGAATCTGAGATCTCATCATGTATTCCCCCTCCTCTCTCCTCCCCCTTCATCCTTACGTTTCCACTGGTCCAGGGTCAGCTCTGCGTTGTCTAGCGAGTGGTCGTACGGCTGCGCTTCCGTCTCCTCCTCTGGTTCTCTAAACTCGGCGAAGTACGGCAGCGCGAGAGCCTCACCAGCGTTTACTCGTCTCTCCGGATCCAGCAGCAACATGCGCTCCAGCACAGACACGGCTGAGGACGGAGGAAGAAACAGGAAGAGGAAACAGTGAGAACAGAAAACCAGTCTGAACGAAGCGTGTCCAATGAAAAGGCCAAGCGCGTCCTACCGTGTGGGTTAGCGTTGCAAAACAGCTTCTGAAGGTCTTTCTTTTCCATTTTTGGACAACTTTTGATGTAGCTTTTTGCCTGAGAGACGACAAACACATAAATATGAGCCACAGTCGTATGCAAGCAGGAAATGTAAGAATCACCAGTGCTCTGATGTCTGACAAGAAATACAGGAATGTTTCTTTAAGACTTCAAAACTCACATCCTCCGATTCTAGCTTCGATATAAACTCCTGACTTGGTGTTCCCGTGAGCTTCATGATCTCAGTCAGCTGATCGAGGTCTGAGGTGCAGAGGTCAAGGTTAAAACGTGATATCTGTCACAGCAGGGCAGGTCTTACAGTCAGAGGAGAAAACCATAACTCTATACACTGATCAGCCACATGAACCGCCTGCCTGAGACTCTGTAGGCCTCCCTCCTGCAGCCACAACAGCTGTGGATGGAGCGTGGACTCAGACCTTTGGGGGCTATCCGGTTCCGTCTGGCACTGAAGCGTTGGTAACGGATCCTTTGGCTCCTCTGGGTTGCAGGGTGGGGCGTCTGTGAATCAGGCCTGTTCCGGTGCATCCCTCAGATGCTCGACCACGTTTGGATCTGGTGAGTTTGAAGGCCGAGTCAACGCTCTGGGCTCTTTGTTGTGTTCCTGAGCGGTTATCCTGCTGAGGGAAGCTGCTGGCATTGGAGGGAGCTGTTGCCATGGGGAGGATGTGCTCGGTCTGCAACCACGTTTAGGTAACAGCCACGTGAACGCCCGGCAGAGCAGAGCATCGCACGGCAACAAGATGATCAGTGTTTGGTTTATACGTCACCTTTCAGTGGTTTTACTGTTGTGGTGAATCGGTGTTAATTGTGAGGGTCAGAGTGGTAAAAGGATACGGTCGCTGCCTTTCAGAAGAGGCTTTCCCTGCAGCATCTCCGCCATGATGCAGCCCACTGACCAGATGTCCACTGAGGAAAACACACCAAACACAGCTGATAAGACACACGTTTAGGACCACCAGAACTCTGTAGGTTTATGATCTGCAGCATTCGATTCATGCGTCCACACCGAAGTGTAAAGTCAGGTGTAAAGGCAGCGCCATCTAGTGGAGAACACTTATCCTAACATCCACTGGACAGATGTTCTCAGCACTACTTTATTGTAAAACGCAGCTTAAAACTGGAGTTGTTGTATCTGTTCTAAATCTCTTCACATGCCTGCAGCGATCAATAAACTAAGTGCTCTGATCAGTCACAGCCTGGAAACAGCCCATCCAGGCGCAGCAGGAGCTGATTGGATGGCCGACCTGCACTCTTTGTACATCACTGCAGTCGGACGCATTGCTAGAGCTGCTAAGAAGATAACCAGCAGCTGTGTGTTTCTGTTTCACCTCCACCTGCAACATCTGGCACTGCTGCACAAAGCAAAGACACGAGAGAGAGCTGAGTGAAAGGCTAGAGCCAAAAGAAAAGATGGATAAAGCGAGAGGTCAGACCAGAGTTTAGCTTTTACATGTTGGTGGCAACTACGGCACTCAAAAGGTCTGACAATGATGCCACAGTTGCTCCTTTTTCTTTTTGTAGGTGAGACATGATGTAGTTTAGGTTTGCTGCCCTCCTCTCCCCACCGACAGCCTCTCCTGTGGATCAGAGCGCTCCTGGTTTTAAGGAGTGGCTGGAGAGGGATCCCCTAAAGGGAGGTTTTTGTTGTTGTGTGCTTTCACAACCCAGCTCAGCCTTTGTGCTTCTGCATGTGTGCATACGCTAGCTGCAACGTTGTTCTGTAAATATGTCTGTATGTGTTTGCATTTCTGAGCTTGTTCTGCAGATTAAAGTCTATTTTCCATTTAAAAAACAATGAACTATTTACACTGAAGTCACAGTGAGTGTTGAGCCTAGACTCCATCTCTCACACCCTCACAAACACAATCTGCTGCAGCTGCAAGACGTGTCACATTTTATATAAAAGGTTATTTAAAGGTACTGCTCGTTGCTGCCGTCTAACATCCTCCACCCACGAGCGTCGGGCTCACAGCAACAGGTTGCGTCTTGCTCTCTGCAGGTTGTAAAGGTCATTGTGGGAAATGTGGTGAATCACTCGCTGAAGCAGAAGCCCCCGAGTTAAGGGCGAGGAGTCCACTGAAACACCCAATTCATGCTACGCCATGAAATAACAGGAGGTTTCAGCGCTAATGGGTAGCTCCGAACATGACACGCTGATGAGAGACGACAGCACGAGAGGGTGTTGCTCTCTAATAAGCGCTGCATTACCCGTCTGAGTGTAGTGCATCCAGCTCAGGATGACCTCCGGCGCCCTGTACCAGCGAGTCACCACGTAGCCCGTCATCTCGCTGTCTGCCTGCCGCGCTAAGCCGAAGTCTAAGATCTGACAGAACATGAAACGACAGAGGGAGTCAGACGCAGCAACATTTACATCAGGATCCACACCAAGGTCTGACAGCACAGCTCCAGCAGATTCTTCACTGGATAGCTGCAGACTGGGTTTGTAATGAAACACTGATGATCAGGACGGGTGGTGGGCTGAGCCTGTTTGAGGTTATTGCCGGCGTGTGCGGATGTACCTTGAGCTCACAGTCTTGGTTGATGGCGAGGTTTCCTGGTTTGAGGTCCTGCAAAAGTCGACATGAGAAGACTGACTGTGAGAACACGCTCAGTGTGAAGCAAACAAGCAGCAGAGCACAGAACAGTCCAGAACATCCATCTACACTGAGATGAGAACCAACACGTGAACACGGTTTGTATGTTGCTCAGCGGTGGATCTACCTTAGTACAGACTGGAGAGCTGGACTGGACTTTATGCTTCCACTGTTCTGCATCTCAGAGGCAAAGCTACACTCTTTGCTCCACAGCATGTGTTTACGCTTCAGATTATAATATTATTTCCCCTTCCTGTCCAGTAAAAGTGATGTGTCTCCACATTTGGTGACTTGTTCTGAAAAACTGAAAGACTCTGTGTTCCTTTCTGGGCCGAGAACTTTCTCGAACTTATTAAAATCCTCGTGGATTAGCTGGAAAAATGTGACAAAGCTGAAAACACAGGGCCGTAGTTCTCACCTCAGGAGAGGTTTTAGAGTAAATCACTCTCACAGGACAACAGTGCTGGAAACAAACTGATCTGACAGAGTATGAAGCTGTAGATGAAACAACCACACAGAGTATAAAGTAGTTCACATCAGCTCCACTTTCAACATCTACAGCGACAAAACGCTAAACTGGCAGCAGGAATACCCAAACGCAGGAAAACACTGATGGAGACTGTTTTCTGCAGAATAAGTACTTTTACTTTGATCTAAGTACAGTTTTGACTGTTGCTTGCAGTGAACTATTTTCACGGTGTAGTATTAATACTTTGACTGAAGTAAAGGATCTGAATATTTATCTCCATACATCAGTGCACAGACGTAGGTGGTGGAAACATGAAGACGACTTACCCTGTGAATTATACCAGCAGAATGAATATACTGTAATAAAAGAGCGAGACAACAGTTAACCAACTGGACAAAGGTAATAAAGCACTGATAACTATGTGTGATCACAGTGGAGCTCCACCTTCAGCCCTTTGAGCATCTGATAAACCAAATACTGAATTTTTTCCTCCGACAGTCTCTGCAGCTTCATCAGCTTCCCCAGATCGGTGCCCATGAACGGCATCACCAGATAACTGGGAAAAAATCAGGACAGTTAGTAATGCTCTGGTAGTGGTGGTGCTAAACCAGCACAGGCTACAGTCACCCTGCTGCAGCAAATAGATGAGAAGTCACGTACAAGTCATGGAATCTGTCCAGAGAGAGGTCAGCGGTGAACACATCCAACAGGCCGATCACCTGCAGCAGGAGGAAATCACATCATGTTTCAGTTCCTTCACCTTTCCTGGACTGTAGCTGTTATGAGAAACTGATTCCCTGAACAGGACCAATGAAGCATCGACCGTCTATCATGGAGCCTCATCCTTCAGCTCGTTAACACGTGCTCTCTTTTCATTAGTGGCTAAACTAAAACCCACTTGCAGCATATGTGAAGGTCCAGACTCACATTCTCGTGTTTCATGTGTTTGAGGAGCCTCAGCTCCCTGTAGGCCCGCTTAGCGAAGATCTCAGACTGGAACGGCCTGTACAGCTTCTTGATGGCCACCTTGGTTCCAGTTCTGGAGTCCAGTGCTGAGCTGGAGGACAGATGATATGAGAGGCAAAATATTAAACCCTGGAGGACGAGGAGGCGCTGGTAACAACCTCCAGGAGCCTCCCTGTGATCAGGAGACTAAGTACATGTGCCAGATGTTCTGTTCTGGAGTGTGGCTGTTGTTTAGTGATCTTCTGGTCACCGTGGAAGCAAACAGAGTGTTTCAGACACACAGGCTGTGTTATCTGCCACAGCTCGCACTGGGCCTCGGCTTTCTCTGAGTTGTTCGTGTGTTATTAAGTTGTATTCAGTCAGTCAGAGCCGCTCAGAGCCCGCCCACGGAGTTAATCATTGACAACAAAGGGCCGCATGCTGCGAGACGCACAAAGGTTCTGGAAAGCAGCTGCTCGTTGTTGTGTTTCTGTAAACTTGACTGCGCGCAACTATTTCACAGGCCGATGCGCTCTCCATAATCCACCTGATAGTGGCGGAGATTGAGCTGTCAGGCTGACTGTGGAGAGAGGCGCAGCGGCGGAGGCATCGGCGCAAAGTGTCTCCATCATATGAGGAAGTGAAGCAGCATGTGTTCAGCGGAGCGCACAGACTTTTCTTTTGTGTGGCGGTGGCACCGTGCGCCGCCTGCATGGCACCATCTGCTCGCAGCTCTATTGTTCACAGTGTCCCGCATCAGCCAGCAGTGCTATCGGGGTGAAAGCTTCTGCCCTTTCTCTCTTTTAATCTCGCAGAGTTGACTTACCACACCGTCCCGTACGCCCCGGTCCCCACCTGCCTCAGATCCCGGTACCGCTCCGGTACTTCCCACGAGGTTTTGTTGACTTCCTGGCGGTAGTAGCCGGGTCTCACTCGCATAGTCATCTTACTAGTTTTTTAAAAAAGCAAAAAAAGAAATCTAAGAGAGGTCTTTCTTTGCGTCTTTTGTCTGCTCTGGCGCTACACAGCCATTGTTCCAGACACCACCTATGCGCTCAGATCAGTGCGCAGCTCCGCTCAGGGCGCACCCTGAGGTCGCCCAAAGCCACTCCCGAGTCCTGCTCAAGGCCTACAATTAAAGGTGAAGAAGAGATCGGAATGGAACACGAGAACGGGCATTGAGCATGACTTTGAAATGCGTTGGTAGGTGTGGATAGCAACCTAAAAATAAAAAACTAAACCGAACTATACTCTATAAATAACACCCAGTCCGGACTAGATTCACGGTGCTGCTGGGAACTAGTCCAGTAAAGTCACGTCTGGGGCCTGCTGGGACACGAACCTCACACTCCTAGAAGTCAGGTATGTGCTTTTACTAAAACCAGCTCCTATGAGGAATCCAGAAAACAGAAGAAGGAAGTCGTGCTGAGGTCCAACAGCTCCAACCACAGCGCGGAAAAACCAACTGAAAGAGTGGAAAGGTTGGACAAATGTCACCGGGAACAACTGAAATGAGGAGGAGGAGGTTTGTTCTTGAAAAGAGGTGCAACAAAAGCACAGAAGACGAGCTGTAAGGCTGTAAGGAGGAAGAAGTCGACCACACCGTACAGTTCAGACACTTTAATCAGACATTAAGCAGAATTTCAATGCGATTATTTTTCATGTGTTTTGCTCGACAGAACCTGGATCCAGATGTGCCAGTTGTACGAGTGCTGCTGATCTGATAAACAGAACCACAGGAACCACCAGCTCATCAATGGGCATCCGGGCCTTTCCCTTCACACACAGTTACCTCTGTGGCACAATCGACCACAGACTTCCTGTTTCTGGATGGCCACAAGCTGGAAGAGTCACATTCTCAGTGTTCCTTCCCTTAATTAGTTTCAGTTATAACTCTTACTGGGTATACTGGGTATACTGGGTATAGTGGATAAGAGAATAAAGGTGAGCTAAGGTTCAGTGTCTATGCAGTGGTGCTGTGACGATGGCAGAAGGCAAAGCTTCTCTATTGGAGAAGGCGTTGTGCGTGTTCATCTACTGCGGCTTGGATTTTATTTGTTTTTTATTTTTTTAAATCAAGTGCAATCGCTCCCTTTCCTCCACAGACACGTCATATATTTGGTTTGTGTTGAGGAGACACCCCTCAGCGTGTCAGAGTCAGACGGGTCGCTGTCCGACTGGTTGCCTGACTCGTCATCAATAGCTGCTGAACACCCAACAGGCAGGTGAAGGTTCTGTACACTCACAAACCCCAAACAAATAAAAAGTGCATTTCATAAACTGCATGTGCACAGTGTTGTATGAAACCTTCTTCCCATCTCGCCGTCAGATGTCCTCCACCTATCAGCATTAAAACCTGCTGCAACTGGGAAGAAGCCAGACTCTAAAACTCACTTCACAGCCCTTTTTAACCAGATATGGTCAGACTGTGATGTTCTGTATCTGTAGAACCAAACCCAACACTTCCTGCCTGTGTGTGTGTCATCCAGCCGGCCTATGGGGTGTCCTGCCTCATGCTAACTTCCTTGATGCTGCCCCGCCACAGTAACCCAGAGCTCGGCTAGAAGAGTGTGTGGTGGGATATAAAAGGTACAAATATAGAATTTAAACACCATGAAACTCTGATTACTTCAGGCGGGACAGCTCACGGTCAAGGAAGTTATTACGAAGATCATGTGACGCAGATTTCGTGCGCCCAAGCAGGCGGCTTGCTGTCGTAGGGGACGGCGCTTCTCGCCGTGGACGTGGACGCTTCCTGCTGCTGCTCCTCTCCTTCGTCTCTTTCTCCCTGTGCCGCCGCTCCGTCGCCGCCGGCCCACGCAGGAAGCTCCAGACCAGTCTGAGAACAGAAGGGCCTCTCCAGAACCTTGAGGACCCGCTGGACCTGCAGCACAGAGAGGAAGTGAGAGCAGGTGGACGCTACGAAAGTGAAACGCTGAAGCTGAAGAGAGCAAAAGAGGATTAAGTGTAACTGAAGCACAATGTAATCCTCGTTCTGATGCTCTGAAGCCACCGCTAACATAAAGGCTGAAGATGCACAACAGTCTGAATCATCCACCCATCATCTCTACACCTTAATCCTCACCAGGGTCACGGGGGGCGGAGCCTATCCCAGCTGACTCAGGGTGAAGGCAGGTTCACCTGGACAGGTAACCAGTCTATCACAGGGCTACACTTAGAGACAGACAACCAAGCACACTCACATTCACACCTACGGACAATTTACAATCACCAATTAACCTCAGCATGTTTCTGGACTGTGGGAGGAAGCCGGAGAACCCGGAGAGAACCCACGCTGCACGGGGAGAACATGGAGACTCCACGCAGGAAGATCCCGGGTGTCCTCACCGGGACACCAACCGGCGACCTTCTAGCTGTGAGGCCACAATGCTAACCACTGAACCACCTGCAGCCTCAGTCGAAATCAAATCATCCCAACTGTTAAACATTTTCAGTCGTCTCGGTTTCATCTGATGCTTTGATAGAAAAAAACATTTGTAAAGATGTCACTGGAATGTTAACTCAGACATATATATATAATGTTTAAGTGATTTTTGTGCCTTTATTAGACAGGACAGTGGGGGAGGAGAACGGGGGGAAGAGGTTGCAGCAAAGGGTCATGAGCGGGATTCGAACCCATGGCTGCTGCACCTGTACATGGGTCACCTGATCAACCAGGTGAGCTAAAGCAGCGGCCCTATTTTTCATTTTGAATTGGATAATCCAGCCATATCTCTGTTTTTGTGAAAGTTCAAACATAAAAACTTATATTTGTATGTTTTGACCCAGTGCTTCGTGTTGAAAGCCGCCTCCATGTTTCTGTGTTCTGTTTGTACGACTGGAACATGAAACTACAGCTCAGAAAGCATCACTATCTGACTTCTGCATCTTCATTTTTTTGGTAATACATCCTCAGAGACGGGAGTTTTGATGACAGCTTCAGGTTTGTTCATACTTTAACTCCTCCATGATCAGACGTTATTCTGTCTATTTTTCCAGTTTTGCAGATTCTGAATCAGTGTCTTGATGAGAAATAACAGTGAAAAGTTCAGGCTTTATGTTTAGTCGTCATCCAAACAGAGCCTCACATGTCAATGAAAACGTGGGTCCTCGATTTCAGAAACTAATCTAAGAACCTAAAACTGTAAATATGGATAGTTCAAGCGAATCAGATGGACAGCAGAAGGTCACTGACGATTTGAGATGAAGCAACCAGACACTTTGGCATAAGGTGGAACTGTACGTCATGTATTTAAGGTTTCTAACAAACAAGCATCCCGTGGACCAGAACCTGACCTCAGAGAAGTCCCCGTTCTCAGCAGCCTCGATGGCATTCTGGGCGATGTAGTTCCTGAGCACCACTCTGGGGTTGGTGCCGTCCATCACCCTCACCCTCTCCTCCTGCACGGCCTGCACATCGCTCTGGCCCTCCAGCTCCAGAGCCAGACGTTTCCTGAGGCAGAGATAACACAAAGCGTGATGGAACAACATCCGCCTCGACGCACCATTTCCTCCTTTTTCTGTCCATCCGCCCCTTCTAGCAGTCACACGTCCACCCATCACCCAGAAAAACCCTCATGTGGTGCCTTCACTTCCTCCGGTTTTACACACCAGCTGCACTGGCTTCTGAAATGCTGCCGATGGCTTTTGTTTCAGCACATCTCACCTATAGCGTGTGATCCAGGAGGTCCAGTCGTCGGCGTGCTTGGCCGTCAGCTCCTCCTGGCTGCTCTCCATCAGGTCTTTCAGTCTGCTCAGCCTGTCTAGCTGCCTCGCTATGGTCGCTCTGTCTGAGATCATCTGGAACAGCGCTGGATTGCTCTGAGCCATAGACAGCAGCATCGCCAGCTCGCTGTTGACACAAAACATACCAGTTATAATCCTCACAGGCATCCTGGACAAACAGCAGGACCGGTGCTGCCCATGCAGGCGATCCGAGAGCTGCTGGAGACTGAATGGAGAGACTGAGGGGACAAGATCATCCTTATTGTGGTTCAGTCCCACTCGCTGTGTCGTCCTGCACAACAGTCAGGATCAGATCAGGAAACACGTTGGATTGAGTTTGTTGGATTATTCTCTGTTTATTTCTAGTCTGGCTTCTAAATAAAGAAGCAGAAATCATTGAGACAGACTCAGAATGAAACTGGACGTGTTCTCTGGTTCTCGGCTGTGTGACAGGACGCCTCAGGTTTCCTTTAGCTTCTGTTTGAGGCTACAGGCTGGTACGTCTACAGAGGAGAGCGGCTCAGCTGAGTTTTACATCAAATTAAATCATTTCCAATCACGTTTCAAAAATGAAAGCGATCCGACTGCACAGATAGTCGGTACTTGAAGACATTGAAGCTGCGCTGATTAATATTTCTGAAGAGGAACATGAGAGAACCAGAACCAGAACCACCTCTGCAGCTCCCCTCAGCTCCACTAAAGCTGCTCCATCACTGTGACTCTCTGGGTGATGCTGCTCTGATGTGAGACTTAGAACTTCCATGTGGTCAGAAGCAGATGAACGACGGCTCTGAGGTGTTTGCTGACATCAGTGTTGTGATCAAAACAACTCAAATTCAAGACACTGAACTACATGAACTTTTACAAACTCTGCTTCCCTCCACCAAGTGTTGAATGAAACCATCACAGAGAACCTCTCTAGTGGCACCTGGTGGCTGCGATGGGCCTCACATCACACTAAAGCTCTGGACCATGAACATAACTCAGGTCATTTAGTCATTCTCAGAATTTTCAGTGAACTGAACAAGAAATAATCATTTCCTCCTCAGGGTGGCGCTTCAACACAAACCACCAACACCCTCCACACCCTGGGGACCACACAGACACTCAATAACTTTCAGGCCTTTGCTTTAGGGTTCAGTATTCTGTCACTGACCAGACAAAGCAGGCATCATGTAACTGGATAAGAAAGATGGAAATCAAGCTCTGGACAACATCCACCCCCAAACTACATTTCAGGGCAATCTGGCCTGTAGTTGTTGTTCAGGTCTCCTCCCCTAGATGGACACAACCTCATTACTATAACCCAGATCTCCTCAGGAAGACAGAAGCCTTTAAGGATGGTAAGAAATGCTCCTGAATCTTAAACCGTCTTAGTCCTCATCACACACCTGAGAAACAAAACGCTGAGCTTCACATGTAGCTGCTGTAGTGGTATGACACAGACACACTGCGTGGTGTTGGTGGTTAGGTGCTTCAGGCTGCTCACCGTGGATCCATGGTGGGTTTGTTGGCAGCTTTGAGCTCCTCTAAGGAGGCACACTGATCCAGCAGCAGGTCTGCAGCTTTTTTGACAACTTCTCCCTCACCTTCTCCCTCAGCGGGACAGGAGATCTGACTCAGGCTGCGGAAGGTGTTGGTGAAGTCAGCACCTGAGGAGCAGGGACAGGAGGTGTTACTGCAGGAGTCATGGATAAATGTGTTCCTACATCAGAGTCTTTGGCTCCACCTGTGTTGTGCATCGTCTGCAGCAGCTGAGTGATCAGGATCTCGTCCTCGGGCTCCTCCTTCTGCAGCAAACCCAGCTTCTTCCTCATGTTGTCCAGGTAGAAGCGGTTGAACAGATCCAGGTACTCGTCCATAACAGCTTCGGCCCGGTCCGGTGGCAGCTCTGGAGCAAGAGCCTCTGCCAGCTTCACCAGGTTCCACCTGCAGATGGCCGGCTGGGCCTGGTAGGAGTACCGGCCGGAGTTGTCGGAGGCATTGCAAATGAAATCTGGATCAAACCTGAGAGGGATGAGTTCAGACCCACATGTGGAGCATATTAATGATTAATATTTCCTGATGACGTTAGAGTCAGTGAACACTCCTCAGAGGCCTGACCTGTCCATGAAGCCATACGGACCGTAGTCCAGCGTGACGCCCAGGATGCTCATGTTGTCTGTGTTCAGGACTCCGTGACAGAACCCTACACACTGCCACTGGGCCACCAGGCGAGCCGTACGAAGCATCACCTGCACACAGGAAGAGAAGGCACCAGTCCCATATTACAGATGACTGGCTACTGCATGTCCAGACTGATCTGAGCCTGGACCCGTCCCCGGGCAGGACAGAGGATATGATCTGCTTGTAATTCAATGAGCAAAATGTCAGCAGGCTGAATCCTGGATAATAACCTGATTTGATCTGAAGCAGCAGCAGGCAGCCCCTGCATGGCTGGAACTGAACTTTCCTCAGAATCAATAAATTATCTATGGCTATCAAAGTGCTGAGTCATGCAGTGACTCAGCACATGCAGTGCCATCTACAGCAGCTTAACGGGATAAGAGGATCCAAATGTTCCTGGCTTCCAATACAATGCCATCCTTGAACCTCCAGCATGCTGATTTAGGTTCACCTTGAGAACATAGTGGCCTCTCAGTTACTGCTAAAGCTCAGCTTTACTGTCTGACGTGTTGAGAGCGCCCCCTATGCTCTGACCTCTCTGAAGAACGCCACGTTCCTCTCCACCCGGTCTGGGTAGTTCTGCTGGATCTCAGGATAGAACATCTCGATGACATAATCCAACATCTGACCTCGAATCTCGTCACGGCCGTAGCTCGGACCCTGGCGGCCCGTGAACTCATCGGCCTGCTTGAAGATCTCAAAGGACCCGAACCTGAAAAGACAAACGGCTCCAGCGTGAACATCTCGAGAAGCTCGGTCATCCGTGACAGACGAAAGCAGGAAAACGACTCACCTGAGGAAGGTGGGCGCGATGCGGAGGACCACAGAGCACCTCTCATGGCGAGGGTTCCCGCTGTAGTACACGTCCCGTATGACCCTGCTGTCAGAGGTCACGACAGAACCGGCTCTGGTGGTGGGAACGCCCAGGAAGAACATGGCCTCGCTGCACAGGAACTCTCTGATACTGGAGCGCAGCACCTTACGACCATCAGCTTGTCTGTGGAGGGAAGAGGAACATCAGACACATTTGCATTTCACTGATTCACCACATGTGACTGTCAGAGCTCTGTTCAACCACATCTTAGAAATAAATACATTAAAATCAGTGTATTTATGCTTGAACTTTTTGGTGTAGTTAAAATGTGTTTATTTCCTACATTAAGCCTCTCTAACACTAAACAGTGCGACATAATCTAAACTGGGCACCAGAGCTGCAACCAACAGCTCCTGTCATCTGTCTGGCATTTCCTCCATCACTGGATTCACTGTCTGGTCACTAAATGTCACAAAATGGGGTGAAATGTAATAACTAAGAAAACAGAAAAATACACTGATAGACAAAATGCACAATAAACTGCATAATATAATATCAAGAGACCTTCACTGTTGTAAACGTAAAGCTGACATTTATTCAGTAATTCTTAGAAAGCGACACCGGAAGCAGCTTCTTGTACCTGGAATAGGGGGTCAGTCCAGCTCCTTTCACCTGGATCTCCCACCGGCCGCTCGGGTTTTCCCGGAGAAGTTCGGGATCCTGGCCGGGCGGCACCTTCACCTCGCCCAGGTAGCAGGCCGCCCCGTCGCCCAGCTGCCCGGCGAACTGGCCGAACTGGTGGCCGCAGTAGCAGTGAGCGGCGGGCTCGGACCCGGGCATCACTCTGGACCCGCTGAGGTACTCTGGCCCCCGGGGGTCGTCCATGACTTCGGCTCCGTCCAGCCCCAGCAGCGCCAGGGCTTCGTGCGACACGGCCACGAACCGCGGCTTGGTCAGCGGCTGCGGCTTGACCCGAGAGAAACACGCTCCTTTCACCTGCCGGACCCCCGGCTCCTCGGACGGGTCTACGGGAAGTTTCTTCAAGGCGACGTTGTCAAAGTCGAGCCGCTCCAGCGAGGACCGACTCATGGCCAGACCCATGTCGTCCATCCCGACCGAGCCGAGGAGTCTGAGCGCGGACACACCGGGGAGGAAGAAGCGAGACGGTCCCAGCCGCGGTCCTAAATACGCCATCCGAGCCGGGCCATCTGTCCGCTCACAGCCGCTGGCGCAGTTACAAAGTGCTCACTAATCATGCTTTCATAATCCTGCCTGCTCCAGCGGATGTTTGCTACGAGACACGGTGCGCCGCTGTTATCTGTCCGACCGGAAACAATATACAAGACGGAACTAATCGCTGCGGTTTGGATTTTCTGATTACGCATCTACACACATCATCATGTTCAATACAAATGAAATGATTGAACTACAGCATTTCTGAGGCAAATATAATTTCTTTATTTCAACATTTGTATAATCCATCACTGATCAATGTTTGGTGAGTTAATGACGATACAACACAAAGGGAAGGAAGCACATCCGACAACAAACAGGCATCAGGCAGCAGGGCAGCCTTTGGAGACGCACACATGACATTTGAGTTATACTGCAGAGGAACTGAGAGGCTGGACTACATCTGACCTCTACTTTCTCAATATTCCTATCTCATACTTGGGCAAGAGGCTTTATTGGAAGACAGATTATGTGAGTTATCTCAGAGTGTGGGTAACTGGCAAGTGGTCCGATTATGTTTTTAGAACAAAATGAACCTCCCGTGTTAGTTCACGTGACCATCAAAGTATTAAATTAACTTCCTTCTCCCATAAACCGGCTACAGTGAATAATGTGAGCAGTGTACACAGAAACCCTTTAAATCACCCGGAGTTGGTGTCAGTACATCACCCTGTAACCAGCAGTTACTGTGTTCAGACCGGTGAGCTCAGTGGGACATCCCCCATGTGATGGAGTTCCACAGCCGGTGTGCAGCGAGAGGCTCCGTGCTACGGATCCAGGAAACAGGCCTCAGCAGAGGAGGCCATCTGACGGTCAAAGGCAGCAGTGATCTCAGCGTAAGGCTTCATCTCCCAACTCTGACCAAGCCCAGCTGTCAGTCTCCTCGACAGCAGGCAAAGCAAGTCCACAAAGGAACCATTAGGGCCAAGTTCAATCCTTCATGTGAGACTAGTTTCATTCTGATCCCATTTCACATCATCAGACTGGGAAACTATAATGCATATATTGAAGAAGTCCAACCAGCTGGTGGCTGAACGTCAGATAGTTTCAGAGATGGCTCTCTATATACGGTGCATATTTCTGTGTCAAGTAAGAACCTTTCCTCAGAGGTGGAGTCAGTTAAAGCCTGAAATGTGGGGGCGGCTCATACTGGAGGTACAATCAAATATACAGATGACAAGATGCTGCGATGCTCTTCCTGAGGCGTATGTAAGCCTGTCCTGCATCAGGTCTCTGATAAACGTGTGACTGACCATAGCATGTCGGGGTTCAAACAGCTAAATGTCTCTACTCAGGGCGACAGTACATAGAAAACAGGCTTACCATGTCGTTGTATAAAGACAGAATCTGACCGTTAGTATGTGTACGTTGCATGCGACACAAGGTTCTGCCTCTCCAGTTTGTCACCAGTAGCCCTTACAGCTGCAACATGAGGCACTTGTCTGTTGATGTCGGCAGGACCGTGCACACGGGAAGTCACGCTCATCCTATGCCAATCCTGGATGTGAACTCTGAGGAGTCTACATCTGAAACAGCAGATTTATCAAGAAGTATGAACACGATCTATGGCGTAGCTCACACCATGTGTGTCGCTCTCAGCGCTACCTCTAAACTGTTTATTATCGCTACGGCTGACTATAGACTTTACTTTCATTTCCACAGGCTGCATGTACAGAACTAGACTCTAGCAGTCTCCTATAAAGTGCTGGACTTGAAATTGGGATAATTACCAACAATAGTGGCTGGCACCAGAAACAGAGGGATCAGTAAGGAGACAGCATCCTCTCAGAACACAGCTCCATCATATCAGGTGGGTGACTTCAGATGATGCCAGTTATCTTCATCAAATGAAAACTCTGTGTTTGTGTGTGTGTGTGTGTGTGTGTGTGTAAGCCTTCTAAAGGACTGATAGGGGAAATACAACCTACTTGGAGGAAATTATTGGCAATTTCAAATCTTATAAAATGCATGATTTGCACAAAATATGTAAGAAAAGTAGGAGTACTGTCAGGGTTTCTTTGGCAGTACGGCCCTGCTGCGTCTACAGGGACTTTAATAGGAGGTGGAGGGGCTCCTAGCCCCCCGAGGTCCTTGTTAGTTCTCAGCGTGGGCTGGTGAAGCCTCTCCTCCAGCCTCACCTCCTGTTTTTAAGGCCATTGGTGATAGATGCATTGTTTCAGAGGATCAAAGGTGGTGTCGCTGATGGCTTGGAGAGGACCATGGGGTCAAGCAGAGGGTGGCCGCAGCGTCTCCAGCAACGACTGGACTGTAGGTAAAGACAGCAGGACTCTGCCTAAGCTTCCTCCAGCACGGTAGCAGGCGTATCCCAGCATTCCCACCATCACGCCCTTTATGACCGTACGCAACACCCAGCCGAAACGTGAGGGCGGGGCGACACTGAGGAAGAGGCAGAGCAGTGAGACTGTCTGGTCAAACACCATCACAGTGTGTAGACTGAGCATCCATCATGTATAAAGGCCAGCAGCGCAGTAAACATACCTCATGATTTCACTGATGTTGAGCTGCTTCTCCCAGTTCCGCTCAATGCCAGGGACGTGACCCATCCCTACGACTCCCACCACCACAGCAGGCACTTCTACAGAAACACCAGCACAGCTTGTGTTACCTGAGCAATCTGCAGCATGGAGTCATTCATCTTTACATCATGTATGAAACCACAGACTAGCTCCTGTTGGACTGAACACCACTTCAAAAACATTTTTAAAACATGATCACACTCGCTGAGGTGATGTTTCAGCATAACTGACAGAGAAACAATCCTCCGGTAGAGTTTCATCTGGTCAAACCGTATGGAAACTATGCACTGCTGCTTTACAGAACAACAAGATCAACTGCAGGATGATTCCTCAAACCTGCACTGAAGTTTCATAAAGACACATTTAGCTTTTAGGGAAAAAAAAAAAAGAAACAGCCACAAAAACGTCCCACTGCCAGTAAAGCGTCTCATTACATATGACTAAGCATTTCCATTAACAGTCTTTGTCACATTAAACCTCGTTGTCATTACTGCTCAGCTAATTACGCAACAAGTCAGCAACGTGCTTTAGACAGATGAGCACAGCGAGCTGACAGGTCCGGTCAGGAAAAAACAAAACAACTAAAACCAGCTCATAAAGTTAAATAAAGTTTAAACCAGTTGATGTTAAACCGACAAAAGAGCACCAAATGTTCAACATATGTGGAGAAAACCAACCCCTAAATATGATATACATGCAGGAAACATCAAGGAGAAAGTAAAGGGACTAGAAACCTACACGTCTACATGATTTATAAGAAGAAACCAAATCGATATGTTGGTTTACTGAGCAGTGTAATACCCACTCTGAGCATTAGGGGGGGCCTCCACACAGCGCGTAGCCTGGCGGAGCGTGTGCGTGAGGTAGATGTCTCGCTCAGCCACGATGGTTTGGTGGAGAGCAGGAAACTCGCCGATCATCTCCGACATGGTCTGCTCCAGCAGGTCCTTCTGTTTGCACTTCTCCACGTCCTCCTTACTGAAACAGGACACAGCGTCCAGCAGCTCAGCTCACGGAAAGCAACGAGTTCTCTGGTCACACAACTTTCTACTCATGAGTGAAAAAAGAGAATCTGACTCCGGAAAAATGTGTAGAACCTGATCAAATCTGCATAAGTTCTAAATGAAGTTACGTTTTGCATCTATGTTCTTTAGACTAAGAAACATTTACTATGGACAGTGAATGTATACAACATTCATCATGACATGTGGAGTGTTTTGTATGTTTTGTCCCCTTTAGAGCAAAATGAACAAAATGTGGAGAAAAGTTTGCATGCAGTGTCCAGTACAGAAATAGAGTTGTGACCCAGCAGTAAGTGTTGAGCTGAAACAGCCTCATGCTGTCACACGGGTCTGCAGAACAGGCTTTCAGCAGCACCACTTTATACACCAGAGAATCTAACAGCAATTGTAAGGTTGGATCTCAGAGAGGCACAAAGACGGACACACAATCACTGTATGCAGAAAGCTTCCAGTCTGATACAGCAGATACCGGCGGTTCAAACCTGGCAGAGTTGCATGTACTCTGGAAAGTATGTGTGGGCGCACATCGCCTAAACAGAACCACAGATAAAAGATAGGAATCATGCTCGCACGTATAATGTAGCTGCATTTTTCCCAGACAACTGCTAAAAGCAAAATGTTTGCCATTGCGTTCACACGTTTCACAAAGCGCTGACATCCACCATTCACATTTAAACGTTCTGTTTAGAACCTTCCTGCCTGAGAACGGGTCCAGTTTCAAACCCTGTGATGACCACAGCAACACTTTTGGCCAGAAACACTCCCCATGAATGACATTCTTTAATAGTTTTTCCTCCAGTTTGGCATGAATTCAAGCTTTTGGGTGAGTTTAGTGTCGAGGTGGGAAGTCTAACTGTCAGAGTCATGTGTGAGATACATGCCTGTGCATACAGCGGTGGTACCGGACAGTCGTCATGACACGGTGTGACAGAGAGTGATCAAGGTGAGCTCATACCTGATTGGGTCTGACAGGAAGCACAGACCCCAGGCCAGGCGGGCTTTCTGCCACAGACTGAGAGCAGCAATGGCCCTCTTGAAGGTGACCGGGATCGGCCTGTCCCCCAGGTGGAATTTACAGAAGGGCACTCGACCAGCCTGTGTGGAAAGAAAAACTTCACCAATTAAAAAACAAGAGAATAAAAGAAGCACAACAAATGACATTACAATCCAGGTTCTTGCTCTTCTGTGTGCGATGTACCTCTTTGAAGGCCTCCCTGAACTCCCCTCCAGGTGCCATGCCCAGCTGCTCGGTGATGTGGGCGGAAACCTTGAGCAGGAGAATCTGCATCAGGCCAGACATCAGCCCGTTCTGACAAACAGAGGCCAGAATTAACACTCGTCTGCAGTGGTGTTCTTTAAAGTCAGTCCTCTGACAGAGTCCTTTAGTCTGTCTGTCATGTACATCGGCATACTTTGGAAAACCAAGAAAGCAAAGCACACAAGTGGAAAACACAGCAGGCTCTGATGACACCTAATCCTGCCTTTGCATCATACAGCAGGGATATTTATTTCCCCATTTATAAGGCGCACATGCTGCAATCTTCCTCACTCTGTTTCACATGCTGGAACCAGACCAGCACCGCCTTATTTAGAACACAGTAGACTCTGGCTGTGTGTCTTTCACTCTTTCCATTTCTTTCTCCATTTTATTAAGTCTTCCCATTTTTCACACGACCACCACCGTTGCTATCGTTCATCCTTCTGGAAGCCTGACCTGTTTGATGGCCTGCTGAACCTTGTCCAGGTTGATGTCTTTGGCTTCCCTCAGCAGCGTGTTCTCGTCCATCTTCAGCATGGACACCCGGTACTGGCACAGCTCCACCACCACCACGTCGGGCTGCACGGCGCGGATCGTCTGCGTGGGGAGACCAGGAGATAAGAGACGTCAGCGAGGAAGGAAGCAAAGAAATCAGTGTGGAACAAAGAAGACAAGATTATGTTTGACAAAATAGGAATCCCGACCTAATTAGTGTTCATGCAGCCGAGCCAACTCGTCACCACTCGCGCTACGTTACAGCACTTCTCCACAGTCACAGGATCACACACTGTTTCGCTTGGAAGTTCACAGCATATCACATCTGAAACGGGTCTAAGTGGCTCTCTGCAAATCCTGTTGATTTCTCATCGACTCACCGTGGCCACGTCTTTCTTGCTGCTGTCGCTGAAATGGGCCGTGCCCACCAGGTACAGCAGGCTGCCATCAGGGGCAGTGAGACAGGTCACCGTCTCTGGGAGCTCCGGAGACGTCTGGCGCCGCTGGGATCGCAACTGCCAAAGCAGCTCCATCGCTTCGCCATCCGCTACACAGGAACAGCAGCCGGTTATTAAAAACTATTTCATGTCCTGCTATAACCACTGTGATGTGTTTAAGGAGGGACAAATCAGACAGAGAAGTTTACATTTAAAGTTCTCTTGGTGTGGAGACAGAAACAACACCAGTGCACTCATCTACATCAGGAAAAACAGCATTCTGAAGTTAGGACACGCTGCTGCTGTTTGAAAATGACCGAACAGGAAGTACAGGTAATAAAACAGCTGGCAGTGTACAATACTACGATGTGCACGCTGCAATCATACTGACAGGCTGATACGTTAACTTCTCACACAAGAAGTGGTCACTTTAAAACAAGGAGGTGTTACACCATCTTTCTGATGCCATACGGTGCACATGCTGTGTTCAGATAAAACAGAGGCGCTTACAGAGGCCTGGAGGTAGACAGGGCAGTTCCTCTTCTGAAGGATCCTCCGATGGGCCGACCGACTCATCCTAGGAGACATGAGAACAAAAAGCAAGCTCAGACAAAGAAGACATGCTTAGTTCTGTACGAGCTTAACAGATTAGTCTGAACACTTTGCCAGAGATGGAGTAACTGCACATAATTGGTGGTTGAGAAACAACTTGAGCAGTTTCAGCAACAGGACTACAGACAAGCTGATATGGTTTGATACCAGAGCTGGACCAGCCAAACCAGTGTAAAAAACTAAAACCAAACCAAGCATGTGTGTTCCACCAACCTCTGAGTTGTTGTCTTGGTCCATGCCTGAACACTGAGGCAGACAGAGAGCAGGTTGTGGACTTTCTGCTTCACACCATGCAGCCTGTGCGGTTAGTGATGCGTTCACGGACAGCTACACAGCCCCACTGACTGCTGACGCTGCCTTATGGCTAACAGCTGCTGACAGTCGGAAAAAAACAAACTGTTAAAACCGCCGTCATGTCACAGGAGAAAGCGGCGAATGTCGCTGATTTACGAGAGCAAATCAAAGAGGTTTCACGTTTTCTCACGACGACGCGACTGCATTAGGAGTAAAAAGGTAGGGGTCTCACACAGCTGAAAGAAGTAGTAACTCGTCCAGAAACTAGCTAACGATGCTTCCAGGTGTGTTACTGCTGAACATTGAGCGTTTAGCTGCCAGGAGCTCCTCGGCTTTTTAGCTAGCTACCGGATGATACACTACAGGCTAACTCAAGCTAATGCATGCTAGCAAGTCCGCTAAGATTTTAGTGAAATTAAACACAGTGAAGCGGGATAATTCACAACACATGCTGCCATCAATAAATATGCTATAACAGGTAAAATACACGGTAGCTGTCGATAAGAACAAATGTGTGCTACTTACTGAGTGGGCAGCCCTTCTGTGAGTGCTCCCAGCTAGTGCAGCGGCACAGCGCTCGGCTGAAACTGACAGCCGCGGTGCATCCTGGGACATGTAGTCATGGAAAGTAAGGACTCACTTTTTGCAGTTTTTTTTTTTAAGAAAAGAAAATGTTTTTTATTCGTTTTCATTATAACATTTTACAGTTAAAGTCTGGACTTTCTTTTCCACGTGTTTTCTAGTGTTAAGACTGCCAGAGTTTTGTCTCCGATCATGTGAAAATCAACACAGAAAATCCGTTTAGAAGCAGAGCTGTGTCACAACGAGTGCTACTAGTCTTAAAGTGCTTTGGGATGCATTTTGTGTGCTTGAGTAGTCTAACAAGGGGATTTTGAGCCAGTACATAGAGATGGATCATCACCAAAACTAAACTTAATCAGAGGCTGAAGTGGAAAATTGCCCATCACATTAAACATCACTTTAATGCCCCAGAAGGAAGGATGAGGGGGTGTGCATAGGTCTACTTCTGTATGTAGGCCCCTGACTACAGGACTAATGTCTTCTACAGTAGATGTCATGTTGGTGTTCTAGTCAGTGCAGGCAGTTCCTTTATTGAAGTGAATGTGATCCTATGGAGAGGTTGTGCCGGGCAGCCGTCCCCGAGTCCGCCCACTCGTTCCCTGTGAAAGGGGCAAACGTTCCTTATATGCTTGGTTTTACTACAGATTACCAGACCAGCTATTCTAGCTACTCATTCCTTCATTTGTTTTTGTTTTATTTTCAGTCTTTTTCTTTTTTTTGTCTGTTTTTGGGGCGATCTTAGCAAAAATGTAAAACAGGGCAGATTTACAGACAGAAATTTAGACTGTGTCAGACCAGCAGATAACAAACCCTTTAACATCTGCTCATCAGGTAGTTAACTTCACATTATGGCAGTCCCACAAGAACACACTTTAGCAGCTCTGTTCATTATTACGGAGCTGCTGTTAAAGTCCTCCAGTAGAGCACGCCGATATAACCGCCTTTTTGCTTAAAACTGAATTTCAAAAGATATCTTTCATCCGTGACGCTCATCTGACAGTTTCTCTGAGCCACACCTTCACTGTGGAGTCTGCGGTCCTTTTATAAAATGCACCAATTTACCGAATACTCGTGACGTGCAAATATAGTGAAGATCCCATACGTGTTCCTAAGCGATGGTGAGAGGGCAATGATAAGCCATGTGTTCTAGTTTAAACACCCCACACACACTGAGTCATATACAGTGTCTATACATGTCTAGCTTTCTGTGAAATATGATGCTGCAAGCGCATACATTATTGCCACAAATATATTGTGATCTTTTGCATATTAATTGTGCAGATCTCAACAACTGTATTGCATGAGCTACCTCTCTACTTGGTTATTGGGATAAAGGGACAAAGCGTTATCATGTGTCTAAAATACATTTTGTTTGAAGCCATAATGCAGTCCTGCGTCGCGAAGGTGTCTGCCTTTTTAAAAAATTATTATTATTATTAGAAAGCTCGCCCATCTCTCATCGCAGTTCGTCTTGTGGCCGTTCTCGATGTAGCTGTGTGACCGTAGCACCCTGCGCATAAAGAATCACTGCTGGTTTCATTGGTGGGTGGTGTAGCTGAACACAGTCATCCTGAGACGTGAATGTGACATCATTTCCTACAGCAATACTCTGGTCAACACTTGCAAACGCGTGTCTGTCTTTTTGTCCTCTTAAAGGTTCAGTTTTGCTTCTTCTGTCGATCTTTTTTTTTCACAGGGAGTTTTCTCGCTAGTCACGTCAGCCTAATCCACCCATCACAGACGTTTATTCAAAGAGTAGAGGCGGCTGTTGGTCGGAGGTGATCCACGTGAGGGTCGTGTGCGTTCGAGTGCAGTGTCAGGGGAAGTGATCTCAGTCCTCTTCTTCTTCTTCAACATTCTCCAGCGGCGATGAGCTCCCCCGGTCTCTCTGCCAGCCGGCCCCTTCTGCTCTCTTCATCCTCTTCTTCCTCAAACAGAGTGTGGCGTATGCTCAGCAGCTGGTGTGTGGGGGCTCTGGTCAGGGGCGGCGGCTGAGACTCGGGGTTCTCCGGCTGGGCGAGGGGCTCCGCTTGCGGAGGGGAGGACTTGGGACTGAGGGCGTCCTCGCTGGAGGGAGGGTTGGGGCTCACTCCGTTCACGTAGGTAGTGGTGGGCAGGGTCACGGTAGAAAAGGCAGTGTTGGTTGACTCTGGAGAGCACACCTTGGTCTCTAAAGAATACCAAACACCAGACAGTCAGCTGCAGGAAGACGCTGTTAAAGGCACAGTTAAGGGAAATGGGATTTGCTGCAGAGCGTAGGTGTAATGAGGCCTACCTGTAATGGCACCAGACACATGAACAATAGTGTGCGTGCCTTCGAGGTACACTGCATCCATGTTGTGCTCTGAGGGTAGAGGCTCTGTGATTGTGGCCTCCACTTTGGGCTTACGGATCGTCAGCATGTACGGGTGGACGTCCAGAGAGAAGTTGCGCGTGTGCTTTTTCTCCATCCCACTTAGATCTGCAATTAAAAGTAGAAAGTCTGACTGAAAGGGAGGTGGACTATTGCAGTAGCAGGGTTAGGACTAGAAACTCTCTCAACTGATTTTCTGCTCACAACATCAGGCTTTGTTCAGCTTCTTTAGTTTCTGGTTTGGTTCACCAGCTCCTGAGACAAACACCTGCAGCTCAGCTCTCTGCTAATTTCACAAGCTGGTGCTGCTTTGCTGAAGAGAGCTGCCTGTTGCATCGATAGCGACAAGATAAAAGAGACGAAGATGAACCAAAACAGTTTGCTGCTGTCTCTAAAAGTGAGGTAAACAATGTGGTGTGCTGCTGTCAGTACCAGCGATCCCTGTCCCACCACACACAGTCATCTATTAGAATATAACAGTATTGATCAGAGCACTGCCTACCTTTTGTTGCAGGATGCTGTGTGCTTTTGCTGTCCAGAAGTGGTGCAATAAAACTGTCTGCCACTGTTTTGCGTCTGAGCGGTTTGGGTTTTTCAGGCTTGGCGTTGTTTTCCAGGCGAGTCAGGGTTAGGGGTTCCTTCACAATGGACAGGAAACAGAAGCAGGTCATTATACTACAGGTTAAATTGCAGTTCAGGTGGGCAAAGGCAAACGTTAAAGCAGCATTAGTGCTCTGCATGTTGTGGAAGCCTGAAATGAGAGCGGCTGCCTCTTCAGAGAAAGAGGCTCTCATCAGGAGTTAATGTTCCTCAGGTTTTGATCAGTGTGCTCCAGTGAACAGGTTCTTACACTCAGTATGATTCTGTTTTTAGATGACAGCCAGTTTACATGGTTCAGTTTGATTCAGTAATGTCAGACAGATGCTGAACTGCAGCTGGTCTTACCTTAAAGGACTGAGGGAGAGGGTTGGAGGACGGCATCCACTTCATCTTCTTTCGGGGTCTTTTGATGACCAGCGGCTCCCCTCCCATCTCTCCTACAGCCAGATCAGAAGGATCCATGTTGGGATCGAGCGTTTGTATCCCGGAGTCCCTCACAGTGGGCGTCGCATCGTGGTTGGATTGTGCAAGCGCAGCCAACAGCTGCCGGACCACGTTGTCGTACATGAGGTCGCTCTCATTGGTGATGAAGTCCAGCCGGTTGAGGGACTTGATGTGGTCCCTGTTCTCATTGCAGAACATGGCCAGGATGTTAATATCGCAGAACTGAGACTTCTGCCAGCGCCGCCGCGTTTTAATACCGACTTTGTGCAGTTTGTCGAAAACAAAGTTGGACTTGCGCACCACAAACAGATGCAGCAAATTCACCAGGATGATGAGGTTCATGGTGCAGAGCAGAGCGATGTCCACCGCTGCCATGATGCGCTGCAGCTGCACGGCAGGCAGCTTACAGTTGACCCTGAGCTTCAGCTCTGGATAGCTGCTGATGTCTGGGGGCTCACCTAGCGCACAGGTGAACTCATTCTGCCTTTGGCGGGCGTAGTAGGCGCTCAGGTAGGAAATGGGGATGGAACTGAGACAGATGATTGCCAGGTGGCGTGCCAGGTAGAGCTTAGCCAGAAAGTTACTCTGGCCTCGTCTCTCCAAATATTTCTCAAACAGGTTCTGCTCGGGGCTCTTCTCCTTCTCCGCGTTCTCTATGATCTCCCTCCTCTCTCGCTCAGTGATGCCAGGTCCTTTGGACTGGATCTGCTTCTCGATCTTTGGGGCTCGGCCCTCAGCAGCTCGATGATAGCAGTTATCAATCTCTTGAAGCAGGAAATTTAGCTCTGAAGTGAGCCGCGTAGAGGCAAGGAACTCCCAGCCCAGAGCGGGAATGTACATGATTCCAGCGAAGGCCAGCAGGGCGTAGGGCAGGAACTTGTGCTCAAACAGTGAAGGCCAAAGGTGAGCCTCCACTCCGGGCGCAGCATCACGGAGCTCTGTCCAGCAGTAGCCTCTCGCATACAGTGCCTGGTCTCGGGTGAAGTTGTGTGGTGTGTAACAGTATATGGACTCCTCTGAGGAAAACAGAAAGAATGAGTGTAGACATTTCTCATATGATAGCTCATAACGTCATTCATATAAGAGCTGACAGAGGAGCGCTGCAGTCTGGGGCTCATGATCAGTTGCATCATTTTGTTCTCAGACTTTATTGGCAGGATGTGGCCGGTTGAGTAAACACCACGCGAGACGTTGGACAAACAGGCACGGTGTAACAATCTGCTCCACTTATCTGAACGTGGAAAAAGCCAAACATACCTGAAATATCTGAAAATGCATGTTAGTGTTATGAGTGAGACGAGAACCTGCATCGCCCTGTGAATGCTGCAGATGTGTGAAACAGACAACTTCCACAGCAACTTTAATGCTCGTCCTGGAAATCATGCCCAAAATGTTGGTTAAACTGGGACTCGCATTCCAATAAATACAGCTTTCAGTCACCCGTTTACACTTTCTAGGAAACATCTGGTATCGTTCTCATCTTAATGAGAACTGTATCTCTGAGCATCTTTTGGATCATTCATCTGCTCGGCTCAGAGCGCTGCGTGTCTCTGATCCGACTCTGAAATGAGAGACGTCTTCCAGGCTCAGACAGAGGAGGTGAGAACAGCCTTTACTGTGAAAGTCTATCACTTCTGTGTCCATTATGAGCAAGTCTACGTTGCTCAGTTTGCAGCGAGTAGCACAGACACGTCTTTATTTAAGCTTTATTATGATTTTTCTAAAAAGATTCAGTTTCAAAATGAACATTTATTCTATTACGTTGCACGTGACGTTATGATGACATAAAGCAAGGCGCTGCTGTTGTGAGGAGCTACACTTGTCTGGACTCCCACATTGTTGTGCTGCTGGAGTTAAATGCTCAGTCCCAGCTGGTTAAATGCTGCAGAGAGGCTGACTCAGCAATGAACTAACATCCCTCCGATTCACTGCTTCCACTCTGCCTTCTAACCAAACACCGTCCTCGCTCGCTGCCCCACAGTCTGTCCCATCATCCCTCATAGCTCTGCCGTTTCCTTCCTCTCCAGCGTTTCTAGCTGTTTCTGCTCCTCATGCGCTGCTCCCTCCTCCTGTCTGCCTCATTATCTACTTTAATGTCTTTTTGATTACAGGACACAAAAGCCCTGAATGTGGAACTAATGAACTTTGAGATGTGTGGATTTTCCGTGTTTTTAAAGGAACAAAACCCCGTATGGACTTATGTTGGAGTCTGTCACAAACGGTTCTGAAATGATGTGAGGACAAACAGCTGCTGTGTTGGTGTAGCTTTGGCAGTGACCCCCTCTAGTGGTGGAGTGTCTCACCTGCAAAGTTCCTGGTGAAGACGAGGGTGACCAGCAGGATGGGGATGATGACCGTCCCTATAGTGACAACACGATCAAAAGGCAGCTCCAGTTTGAGCTGCACCATGAGGCCCGCCAGAGCGCCACCCTTCTCATCCTGGGAGGAGCCCGGCAGGATCAGCTCCTTCAGCTTCTCGCCTGCGAGTAGAGCTGTGGCCATGTCTAAATTCTGATCAAGGATGTTCTGCATCCGGAACACAAACGACGCACACTATACAACACCCCCGTCTGGGCTCCAGAGGAGACCGGATGCTCCCTGCTGTAGTTTGATGCTCTCAAAGCAGTGTGAGACACACATACACCCGCATGCAGGCGCAGGAACGTGGCCAGACTCTGTCACCATGTGTGGGGAGGCAGCGGCTCATACTGTGTGGTCTGCAGGGCTCAGACTCTTCTAGCTTCTCCCTGGTCGGAGAAGAGACATAATGTTCCTCACTCAGCCTCCTCGGTGTGCATGCCTGTGTTGTGCCCCGTCTCTACCGTGTCTGGCCTCCGTCCACACTCTGCGTGGCAGGTTGAGGAATGAGCTGAGTTTAGGAGGTGTCCTTGGGATCCCTACGGAGAGTGACTGTAGGCCGAGGAGTTGCTTTGGTCCTTTCCTGGAAAACAAACAGACGAGCAGTTAGGGGCAGTACAGCGTGTGCTTTTCTACACCAGTGAGGTGCAAGATGTCATTCTGTGGGAACAAACTATGGATCAGGAATGTGTAGCAAAAGAGCCCCAGTCTGAATCCAAAGTGTCCCGCACCTCTTCCATCCATCGCCTTCATAATGCAGTCATGTGTCTGAGGACGACTGAGCCGCCCTCTCTGACCGGTGAAGTGTGTGAACGTGGTGACATCTGAGGGGGGTTTGCCTTTGATCCAGCAAGGACACTAAAGGGCAAATGTATGCTCTGGGCGCTCCGCTAACGTCAACCTGATTACCAGCACAATTCACTCTGAGTTCCACACATGTTCTATTTGTCTTGAGGAAACGAACAGCCTCCCGCTGGACCCGCCGCTGGTCATTATCCGGTGGAACAGCGTGTTCACACAAGCATGTCAGGTGAACCCAGACACTGTACAGTGACATCAGTGGGCTGCTGTTAGGAGCCAATATATGCATTAGCATGTACAGTACCGTAACGTGCAGGGGCATCAGCGCCTGCTGCATTTCACCTGAAGGTTATGTGGATGTCCTTCGTGAGGAGTACATCACCCCTTCCCATCAACCACTCTCATCGCCTGGCTCTCCTTCCTCCTCTCACCATTACTCCCTCTGCACTTCCCTCTCATTTTACCAACAACACAGCTCATCCTCCTGCTCCACAGCTGGAGAGGACACCTTGCATCTCTGCGGTTTCATGAGTAAAGGGGACGCTTAGGAGAGCATTCCTTTGAACCAGCGAACAACATTCAAGGTTGCACATGTTAATGATGACATCATGGAGCTGCTCCTCGGCTCTCCACACACCTTCATCTACACCCTCAAAGACTGTCTCAGAGAAGATCAGAGAAGTAAAGTTTGCATAATTTAGATTTAAAGGCGCAGCAGCACACTGTGGAGGGCTGCACTGCCGCCTGTGAGCCATGGCACCGGTCCAGTCCCACAGATTATGCCCCTCAGTGGGGCGATGCTACCAGTGTTTAGAGAGGGAATCCCACATTCCTGGGCTACTACAGCATCGCGCTTGGCTATGACCGGTGCAGACCGGCTACAGAGAGATGGAGCTGAGCTCCAGCACAGGAGCTGAAGGAGAGAGGAGCCCTGTTCATTCATTATTAATCAGATCATGGCTGAGGAGGGAAAGAACTTTCAGGATGGAGATGACACTTGTTCTCAGACACTGGAGGGGTTCTGATCAGACAGCAGTCCACAAATACAATCTTTGTTCATAAAATGAGGAAGCTGAAGAAGATAGAAAGTAGGAATCCTCACTGGTCAGAGCAAAGGGAACACAACAGAGGAGCACTGCGTTAGAGAAGATCATGTCCTGGTTCGCTCACTGTTGGGCTGGATGCTGCTTCTCCTGACAGCTCCAGGACAGTGGGAGGACAACACTTCCTACCAGAGACATTGCATTGCAGTGATTTGCAGCTGCCTGCAGATGACGAGCCGCTTCAGCACCTGAGCGGCGGATAGCTCCGGAACCGACGAGCGAAGCGGTTCGGTGTGAGGAGAGAAAGAGAGAGATGCTCTGAAAGAGACCGTCTCGGACCTTCAGTACCTGCATCAGCCCGTCCACCTGTCCGCACCGCCGCCATCCCTCCTCCTAACAAAGGGAGCCATGTGCACGCAGCTGGGGGGAGAAAAGAAAACCCAAAGCCTCACTCACCAGGTCTCCGGCTGCTCCTCCCGGCGCGCCAACAGTTAATCTGCAGTGCGGGCGAGCAGCTACAGCATGTATCCGAGCACACCGGTTTGTTCCGCCTTTCCCCCCTCCAGCTCCCCTCCCTGCCCTGCCTCCTCCTCAGAAACAAGGGCTGAGATAACAGATTAATATTCTATATAGTCCATCGCATCATCTCCCTCTGAGCCCAGCACAGATGGATGGATGGAAATTGGATGTGCTGAGAATCGACATCATGCCAATTATATAATCATTTCTACAGGTTTACCACTGAAATCCTACAAAGCCAGCTTCCTGTGTGAACCTCATGTGGCTTTAAACTGATATAAACGCCGATTAAATGCCATTAAAACATATTTGTGGTATCACAGTGCTGAAGGATTTGGCTGTGAAAGGAACAACAAACCGGCTACTACCATTCACATCCTCCATTTGTTCAGTCTACAACCAAACCACAAGGCTTTCCTTCCCTATTGATAGGTTTATCCAACCTGCCCATCATCTGTGGCTGTGGGACTGGCCACAGACACCAATGGGAAAGATGCTTGTCATTCAAACTGCCTGGGTGTGGCGAGCATCTAGTGTCCGGAGGCATGGAGGGGAACTTCTGAAGCACAGCTGATAATAAAGGAGGCTTTAGTTCCCAGCATGGGCCTCTGCAAACACGGACACACGTTTTGTTTTATAGAAAAAAAAAGAAGCCCAAATTAATTAAATGATTGAATATATATTTGCTCGGTCTTGTGCCACAGATTTCAATAAATCTAAGTTTCTATAAGCCTCACACAGGCTTTGGATCTCTGCCGGGATTGTTGTGGGAAGGAGTCCCCGTGTGCGCGCAGAAGTGGCGCGCCCCCGATGTTCTCCCGCTGGACCGAGCCACAAGTCAATTTTTCCTCCAGCCGGTTTCTGCCGGTTAAGAAACCCGCTCCTCACCAGTCTGCTTCCAAATATAGTCTCTCTCTCTCTCTCTCTCTCTGTCCTCGGTGATGTTCAGCTTCAGGATGTGATGAGCAGCCTCCTGCTCGGTGGGATGAACAGAACAACGTTTAAAATGAAAACACACAGCAGCATGTGCTTTAATTATAGGCCCAACGTTTATTAAAAAAAAGACAAAAACCAAACTCTATATGGACAATGTGCTTGTCCACTGGTTCATGGGATGTTCTTCTATGTCAGTGGGGGAACCGCCTCCCTCCTCATGTGTGATGGACAGTGAGTGAGCATGGAGTGGAGGGATGGCAGTCCATTAACAGAGGAAGGAAATGAAGGAAGAAGAAATTATAACAATTATGAGAACTCGATTATCATTAACCAAGAAGAAATCAGGGTGCGGTAGTTTTTGCAGTTAATGTGCATGTAAGTTTAAATCTCCATCTGCAGATGGAGATAACAGCAGCTCTGTCTCTGGAAAGCTGCTCTTAGATGCAGATGATGGGGTCGAATGCACAGCGTGTTTACGGGTATTAAACCTCGCCGGGCATTTCCCTGGTGTTGCTTTTCAGTATCACATCATTGTCAGTTTAATTTGGCTGCAAAAGACTCTTCATGTCAAAGTGAAAACTGGTTTCTACAAAGTCACTTAATAGAAAACACAAAATGTAGAAGAAGCAGCTGCATCAGTATTCACCTCCTTTATTTAGAAGATGCTCACAGTTCCAGCATCGAGCCTGTGTGGACAGGTTCCACTCACATCAGGACACTGCAGCATCAACCCATCCTGCTGTGGAAGCTCTGCCAGGTTAGGCAGAGCTAGTGAGTGAACAGGCCTCTCGAGTTCAGCTGTGGAGCTCTGGCTGTGTGCTTTGGGTCATTGTCTTGCTGGGAAATAAAGTGTCTCCCAAGTTGCAGGTCTGTTGCAGACTGCATCTGGTTGTCCTCCAGGATCCTACTATATTATGCCTCTATCTTCACAAGCCATCCAGAGCCTGCTGTCAAGAGGACTCTAACATCATGATGCTGCCACCACCGTGCTTCACAGTGGGGATGCTGTGTTTGTGATGATGTGCAGTGTTTGGCGTCCACCAAACAGTGACTGGTCTGACTGGTTCATCAGAGCAAAGAACCTTCTTCCAGTTGACTTCAGCCTCTCACATGCCTTCTGGTGAACTCTAGTCAACATCTGAGGTTCTCTTTTCCACTCTCCCCTTAAGCTTTGGCTGCTGAAGAACCAGAGCAACAGTTGTCTCTCCCATCTCATCTGCTGGTACCTCCTTCAGAGGAGGGGTCTTGGTGGCCTCCCTCACTGGTCTCCTTCTAGTACCTCCTTCAGAGGAGGGGTCTTGGTGGCCTCCCTCACTGGTCTCGGTCTTGTGCAGTCACTGAGCTTTAGAGGACGTCCTGCTCCAGGTAGCTCTAGACGTGCTGTATGCTTCCATTTCTTAATGATGGCTTTAACTAGTCCAAGGCATAGTCAGTGAGCAGTACATTGTCATGAATCCTTTTCCTGGATGATGCTTCTCCATAACCTTTTCAGAGAGGCGCTTGGAGTGTTCTTTAGTTTTCTTGGTGTAGTTACAACCAGAGGTCCTGACTCACCAGGGACTGGACCTTCCAGATGTGATGTGAGTCACATTTACTGTGCTCACATCATCTCCATTTCACCAGTCTATCACAGGGCTACACTTAGAGACAGACAACCAAGCACACTCACATTCACACCTACGGACAATTTACAATCACCAATTAACCTCAGCATGTTTCTGGACTGTGGGAGGAAGCCGGAGAACCTGGAGAGAACCCACGCTGCACAGGGAGAACATGGAGACTCCACGCAGGAAGATCCCGGGTGTCCTCACCGGGACGCGAACCAGCGACCTTCTAGCTGTGAGGCCACGATGCTAACCACCAAGACACCTGCAGCCCTGTTGACTTCCTCTGTGCTAAATGAGGTGAGACACTTTAAAGGTAGTTTACTTATAGTTTTAATTAATGGGCACTACGTGGTAGAAAATCTGTTTTCATTTTGAAATGAAAGAGCCATTTTTTAAATATAGATTCTTGTCCAACAAGCCAAATTAAACTGAGCAATGCTGAAAAGCAATAAAAGGAGAAAGCTCCACGGGCGCAGATGCTATTCATAGGCTCTGTGTTTGTTGCCTCCTCTGTTGTCCAGACATATGAACTATCAGCGGACATTCGATCACATCAGGAACATCAAACAGCAGGAAAACAGTCACTGCAGACACAGCTCTGCATACAGGTGAAGACATTTTATTTCTCAACAGAAGACCTCGTTTCCACGAGGACTCTTCACATCAGTTAATGCTGTACTTCTGCAGGAACGAGTCAGTGCTCTTGTTCAACCACTAGCGCACAAGAAGACACAAAGAGGCCGACTACTGTCCAACATGTGACTCACAATACAGAGAAGTTCACATTTTAAAGAGAAAATCTGCCAACAAACAAGTCTAATGCGTTTTCAAACCTTTTGCATTTGGGGGAAAGATGAAAGATGAACCAGCCGAGCACACAGAAAGCAAATATCACACATTTTAGATATCTGACTTTGAAGGGATTCGATTTCTATTTTTATACATAAATACATCCTGTTCGTGACACAGGACAAGCCTGACAGTGTTGCTGACAAAACCGCATTATGCCTTAAGTCCAGAGTGAATTGAGCTTCAGGTATTTACAGGAGCAAACAAACAAACACAGAACATTTCTCTGTTAGTGAACACTGCTCACAGGACTGTTCATTATACCTACTGTACATGATGTCAATGCAAAACATGTACACGGAGTTCCCCATCGAGTAATACCGCTCCGTAGTCAGCAGGGAACGGCGATGAAACCCAGAAAACAGACATGAAAGCAAAGTGCTCAAAGCATTATCTATGCAAATATCTTAATGAAAAACAAATGAGATTCTCTCAACCTTTTCTCTCTTTGATCCCGTTTCCCTCCACGTCTCTCCATCTCTACTGCTGTCTCTGGATCGGACTGGTGTGTTTGCAGCGTACACACTTTGTTTTATGCCTCCTTTTTTTACACTTTTCCACATATTTCAGCGGCTGCTCATTGAGCCATTTGGACCACAACTGCCTTCCAGGCTCTGTCTTTGTCGAAGTCCTGCAGCGTTCCATTGGATGCCTGGTGCTGATGGAGCAAAGCAGAAGGAGGCAGAAGGTGAGAGAAGAAATGAGAAAGGTGACACAGCGGTGTAGTTTCTGCATGTATGACTAGCTCATTGAGTTTCATGCTGTTGCGTTTAAATGTCGTTTCTATGCACCGTAGCTGGTGAACATCTGGATAAGACAGAGACCATTAGTCATGCTGCCACATCTACACGTGCATCTCGTTGGAGAAAATAAGACATGTGTGTCCGTTTATGGCCCAAACTCCTTCTTTTACCTGCCATACCTCACAGTAATGGGCTGCGGTCTGCATGCCGTCGTCGCACTCTGGAGCCCCCATGCGGAGCTGGCTCTTGTAGGAAGCACAGTGCACCACAGTGGCCGAAGTGAGAACTGCCTGCACCAGCAGCAGCACCATCAGGATCAGCAGCAGGATGTCGTAGGATTGCTGGACCACATAGATGCACACGCAGATGAAATTAGATGACGGTTTTAAAGATGGTGAACATTAAGTCTGTTTTTTAATCTTTTTACCACATCCATATGGTTGTGTGTATATATATATATGTGCTGGACGACACATGATGAGGGAAATAAGCCGTCAGCACCATAACTGGGTCATCTAAAGCATGGACCCGTGTACTGATTAGTGTCAACAACACAAATTAAGACTTTCTGCCAACTTGCACGGTGCAGCTTTCCGTGTCATTATTCTTCTTCAGAATCAGTTTTTTTGTCAAACATCTGTGGCTGAATCACTCCAATACTTTGCCAACTTGCTATTGTGTAGTGTTGAGAAGTTTCACAGTGTTTGGCCAGAGTCAAGGTGAGCTGGTGTGCTCAAGCTGCTGTAAAAGGGTGAAGGGAAAGTGATGAGAGATTCAAGGACTAAAGGAAGCCACAGTGTCTCAACCACTTCAAGGCAGAATGCGGTTCTTTTACGGGAAAAAAGAAAACCGTGTAAATATGTGCCTTAGAGACACAGAGAGGGTTAAATCAGCCGCCTGACAGGCGCCTAAACAAACTTCTCATGAGTCACTTCAACAACTTGTCAAAACTCTGTTATTCGACTAGAGGTCAAAGCCGGGAAGGCAACACTTAGAAAATGTGCACATTGCTCACAACCGCTAGATGTTCACTCCATTAAACACACCTTAGCCGTAGGCACATCATGGAGGAAGATTTCAATAAAGCTGATGACACTGCAGGAGAGGAAGCCGGAGGCTGAAAAGAGAAGGGGAGACGTCACGCTGCTGATGGCAATCAGCACCTCCACCTGAGAGACATCAAGAAGACAGGGGGAGAGGAACTGAGACATCAGAACGAGAAAAAATCCAAGTGGAAGTGGCGATAGAGCTGGTATGTGGATCTGTGATACCCTAGGTCCTCAGAAGACACTCAGACATCCATCCTAATTAACCTGCCATAAGAGAGCAGGTAGGAAACGTTTGGATGGAGCGTGACTCAGCTGAAATCCAGCTCCACCTTGTTCTTCTGGTTGATCATTCTCCTTTCTCTGTGTGCTAAATGTCTGCATTGGTGTTGCATGGACTAGAACGTTTTGTGTACTCACCAGGCATTTGTTGGGGTATTCGGACACCACATGACTGGCGATCGCACTGGGGAAACACTGCAAAGGAGTAGAGGCAGAGTTCTGTGATCAGGCCAGTAGCCGACAGCATGTCGTCATTCTGAGCTGCCCTCATGTGCATCAAAACACAAAAATAAGGCCTCGCTGAGGAAACTTACAGCCACAAGGATCCAGAAAAACGTGACAGACAGGTACGGGCCCGGCAGCAGAGCGTCCATGTTGAGCGCAATGATGCCTCCAAACACAGCGGAGATCCCCACGATCACCTCGATCACCTGTTGCAGCCGTTTGATTCATAATTAGACACACAGGTAACAGATGGCAGCAGCACCAGCATCAAACTGAAAACTCCACTCACAGAATATGCTTTCAGGAGTCGGGTGGGGAACACCGCGGGTTTAATAACCACAGGTCTGTCATATGTCGCCGGCTAGAAGATGGAAGGAAAGATTGAGAGGGCTTAGGATGAAAGAATGAAAGCTACACAGAGACGGAGAGACGGAGAGGCATCAGATGGAGGAACACAAGCAATCAATCACTGCAGCAGGCGCACACATGCCTTCCTGTGGCAGCAGCAGTCCTCTGCAGAGCGGGCTGACAGGATGACAGTGCTCGCCATCAACACCTCCAGCAAAATCATCAAGATGAGGTTAAAGTTGATCTGCGGAGATGGAGAACACAGACACAGCAGCTTCAGACTGAAGGAAGCAGAGGAAATAGGCTTTCTTCTACAGAACAGCGAGGTACCTTTCAACAAAGAAGGATTAAAATGGATTTACATTGACTGCAGAAGGGTTCAGGACCAGTTTACAACCGAACCAAACCAGGCAGGTGGTCGTCACGGCGAATGTGGACACGTAGACCACCTGGAAATCTGATACCTTGAACAGAACACGAGGCCTTCATTAGTATCCTTAAAGAAGTTCAATTAAAAGTCCATTAAAACATAATTATCTGCTTGGCCTCCGGTGGGCTCATTGTTTACTCACTGCTACGTGTCTGTTCTTGGCGATGGCGAAGCTGGCTATCGCTGCAGGGACGCCCTGTGAAGAACAGCAGCAAACACGCCGCTTCATTTATGTATCCAGCACATGCATAAATACAATTAGGTGTTGCTGCCATTTTGACACGACAGTCTTATCTAAACGATGTGTGTAAAACTCGTTAAGGTGGTAGAAGGTGGAAGTGGAGGGAGTGTTAGCATGTGTGACGGTCACTTACAGAGCCTGCAGCACAGCGCAGGTAGTCCATGGCAACAGGAAACACGTTTCCCAGGTACAGAGAGAAACCAGATGTGATGAGCAGACTGCCCTGAGAACACACACACACACAGACACACACACACACACACACACACACACACACACACAGGCATGCACACACACACGATTACAGACTCATAAATGCCTTCAACAGGTAACACTGAGCAGGAATTCCTCTCAGAAACATAAATCTGGAGATGCACAAATCGGACGTGCTCAGGCAAACAGATGAAACTAAATAGAAACGCCTGGAGACAAGCTGCTGACATTTAAACTGACAGCGAGCAGCCTCGTCACATCCATCCAGGAGAGTTTCATTCTCAAATGAGGAAGCACAAAACAAGATTTCTTGTTGCCACTTTACACCCAAAATTTCTAGATTGGGATCCCTCTTAACAGAAAGACTCACCCCAACCTTTAAATGTTGGTGTTATGGACTAAACCTTGTGGTGTGCCTCCTCTGTGACCCTCCCTGGCTCACCCCTATGAGGACGCTGTAGAGCCAGGCCCTGTAGCTGAAGCAGGGGTGCTTTAGAGGCTCCGGCTGGGCCAGCTGCAGGTCACTGGCCCTCACGTCCACCGTGTAGCTGTCCCGCTCGGGCCTGTCCCGCTCCCCTCTGTCCGGCCTCCTGTCCGTGCCCCTGTCGCCCCGGCGCCCCAGCGACCCGCCGCCTCGCTCCAGCGTGGGCATGTGGCTGTAGGTGAACTCCTCTCTGGCTGACAGCTCCTCGCGCTGCATCGTCCAAACAGCTGCCGGCTAACTTCAGCAGCTGGAAACACAGGAGTGAGGACTACACCCTCTGGGAAAGAGGAGGAAGAAAACATTTACCACAACATCAAATTCTGCTTTTTTAACATGTTGCTTCACTTTTTTCCAATCGACAAGAGGCCCAGTAAGTTTAGGTTGATCAAAATAAAGACATGAATCAGAGCTCTGCCATAAAAATCAGGAGAACGTGCATTAAACAGAGAGACGGAGTCATTAGGCTACGACTCATGGAGGATCACACCAACCTCCTTCTGTCGTCCGCTCAAGCCGTGAGAATGACTCTTATTCCAGCTTCTGTTCCTTCACACACACTGCTCGCTCCACACTCACCTGTTGTTGTGCCTTTTGCAGAATCTCCACAGCTACTGTCCAACAACGACGTCCTCCAGCAACTGCGATCAAATCATGGCACTGAAGGCAGCTTATTTTTGTCTCCTCTGCTGCCCATCTCTCTCTCCAGCGCTTACACCCTGTTTCACCCCCACTCTCCTCCTCTTTTCTTTTTTTCTGGTCCTTTTCTCTCCCCCCTCAGTACACGACGGCTCTCTGAAACAGTTCTGAAAAGTTTTCTGAGCCCTTCAAAGCGTGGAGCTAAAACACATGGCTCTTGTGCTGCCAGCCCACTTTGTGCCAAAGGGAGAGCGCCTGTGCATGACAACGAGGGAGGATGAAGGGGCTCGCGCTGGGGGCAGAGTTAGTAGGGCAAACACCCCTTTTTTACCCTCCCATTCGCTCACACACACACACATGCTCGTCAACCCACTCGCAAAACACTGAACAATAGGCCTTCAGAGCTGAGCACATGACAACACACAAGTTATGTGTTTGGAGTTTCCACCTCACAGCAGAGAGAAAACCCCACAAACCCATCAGGTACAAACAGTTGGTTTCTGCCACTTGTGGCTGAATGCGTCCCCCCGTCGTGTTCTGTTGCTCAGTGCTTTACTTGCAGTTCACAGCCCAGTGAATTAAGATGCCGGCAGTGCTTCAGAACAGAGGCGGCAGAGGCATTTCCACGGCTCCCTCACAGGCGCTGCTAATCTGAAGATGGATCATTTCTGCTCCAGATCTCCAAACCGCTCATCCAGGAGTGAAATCCTTTTGCATGACGACAGTCTCTGTGAGTGGCAGTCGTGTTTGGTGTGTGAGCACGTACATGTATGTGCGCCTCAGGATTCCTTTCAGTCTGTAACGCGCCGCAGCATTCTCGCCTCAACATTGTTCCTGGGCAGCGGTAACCATGGCGACTCCTTAACAACTGCTGTCACCCCGTCCCTCAGCATTCTAACGTCTCCGCCCAACACACACACACACACACACACACACACACACACACACACACACACACTCCAAGAGGGAGCAGTATTGTGCAACAGTTTGTGGAGAGGATCTGCAGAACGCTGATTGGATGAGACACAATCTATCACATGAATATTAATAAAATATCAAACCTGATCATTAGATCGTAGGGCTGCATCCTTTCATAAACATCTAAATAAAAAAACAACCTGACAACTGTGCTGCTTGTGACTTTAACCCTACATAAGGCAACATCTACATTTGCATCATGTGTTGCTGCTTACAGCCTGTATACATTAATAATAGGACTACAGGGCACATGAGTCTTTGGCAGTCATGTTGAACTGGAGCGATGCAGCTGAAGAATGTGGGAGGAATCCTCTCCAGCAGACTGACCACACACTGACTCTGGCTCTGCTTTTACCCTTTTATGCACAACAGTGGAGTTGAAAAGAACAAGGCTGGGTCTGTTCTCTCCTTTGATTCTTTTGTCTGTCGAGGTGCCTCCTGTGAGTCTGTTTTCCGTCTCCCTGTCTGAGCCCGGGACACCTGGTCTACACCTCCAGTCGCTGAAGCTTCAGCACATCTTCGCTCTGCTTAAAGTTCCAGTATGAAGGATTCAATGGCATCGAACGGTGAGGTTACAGATAGTAAACAAATGAATACTTCTTCCCTCACCCTCCTCTTTGGGTTTTTAGTGATGGCTGCCAAAAATGTGAGAACCCTGAAAGACCCTCTCCAGAGCCAGGGTCCGGTTTGTTCCTTCTGGGCACTGGACTGCACATAGAAGATGGATGGAGGCATCGTGGCGTCACCAGGAACCCAGAGGTTGGCATTTGGCTGTCGCTAACCCGCTCTATTTAAACTCTGTTGAGAACTTGAGGACACTAGCGGCTTATCGATCACACGGTAACCCAACCCCAAAACAAATCCTGCTTGTTGTCTGTTTGACTCTCAGTAAGACTTTAATTCACTAAATTAGCATCATGCTGTACTCTGAAGGCCTTGGAATGAGCGAGTGAGACCATAAACTCTTCAGAAAAATGCTTACTGAGGTAATAAATCAACTGAGAATTAGGGCTGTATTCTCATAGTCTACTATACAACCAGAGATGTCGCCCCCTACTGGTCATTAGAAAGAATGCAGCTTAAAGGCACTTCCATATTGGCTTCACTTTTCAGACCCAGACATCCACCTTCTACACACAACCTGTGGTTCTGGAAAAAAAAAACTTGAAGGTGCAACATGGTAGACACTCTCTTTTTGTAGCTAATTTATGGAAACAACAACATAATGCTAATTTCTGGTGATTATACTCTAATGACACATAATTAAAAGTGCTATATTCAATTTCTGCCAATAAATCCCCCTAAATCCTAAACACTGGGCCTTTCATACAGTAACCTGACACATACCAACTAGCATGATGGGCCTTACACAGCATAATATTAAGAAACAAACTGTACCGAAAGATCATCAGAATACCATTATCCATCATCTCTACACCTCACTAGGGCCGTGGGGGGCGGAGCCTATCCCAGCTGACTCAGGGTGAAGGCAGGTTCACCTGGACAGGTAACCAGTCTATCACAGGGCTACACTTAGAGACAGA